GGGTGCCTCAGAGGCACGGGACCCCTCCGCCTCCCCGGCTATGCTCCAGGTGTCCCTGGTCTGCTGGAGACGGTCCCTAGCAGACCAGGGGCACTCGGAGCAGCTTTTCTCGCCCCGGAGGTTGAGGTGGTGGGACTGCTGCGCTCTGGGCGGTCCTGCTGCCTGCGAGCTCCGGGGCGAGAGAGCCCCATTCGTAAGTGCGGATCCGACATAAGTCGGATCCGCGTAACTCGGGGACTGCCTGTACAGTAAACTTCCAGTGATCTGGCACCTTTAGGACCCAGGGGGTGCCGGATTATCAGATATGCTGGACTATCGGAAGGGGGGGCCATGAGGGATCTGGGGTGGAGTGGGGGCATGCGCCCCTTGGCGCTATGGGATCAACCTGGCAGCACTCCAGCTGCTCTGCCCCGGGCAACCCCAAGTCAGCTGCTCCTGAAACTGACCAGCGGCTGACTCGGGGAAGCCAGGAGCAGAGCAGCTCCAGTTGTCTGGCTGCCCAGAGCACTTTCGGGTTCCAGATGCTGCCGGACCATCAGGAGTGCCGGACCATTGGAGTTTTACTGTACTACTTTTCTGATATCTATTGCTTAAGTGCTTGATCATGTTTCCTCAGCATCTTGTTAGCAATGTAGGGATTTCAAATAGTCTAGTTTCCATGCCCATCCTATTAAGTTTTTCTGTCGTTGTTCCTTCTTAACAGTCTTACGTATTTTAATACATATATTTTGTCTAGTAAGTCCTTTTAAGTATTTAAGAATATTTTACCTTTTAATAAGCATAGTTCTTTACAGTAATTGCAGACTGGTAAAACTTAAGACACATGCAAAGATGTTCAGTTGTTTATATTTCCTTAACTTGTCTTAACCATAAACCATTTGAACCTTTACCAGTCTAGACCATCTTAATCTCTTTTTCATTTCTGAAATGTCACCATATAGTTTTAATCCCTTAATATATATATTTTACAGCAGTTAAACAGAACTTTTGGATAGGATTTCAATGGTGTGATGTTTTATAGTGTCTTTGAATGGGCATTGCACTATTCAAAAGAGCTCAAGTACCCATAAATATAATATATGTTGAGAGCAGAATATGATGGCACTTTGAATAAGTTTTTTGGTCATTGGGCTACAACAGTCTCCTTGGAGTTGTCTGGTCTAATGGGACACAGGGTTTCAATCTGCTCAGTATGACCATCCTGCCAAATGAGGCAGGTTTCAAATGTGAGGATGGTCCTGGTATGGGACACAGTATAATCTTCAGTAACAGGTACAGAGTTGTCAAAATTGCATTTCAAGTATTCCTTCCTATCTTCAAGGCATCTATTACTTCTGTCCTTAGCCTAATAAAATACTCCTTTTTTACAGGTTTATAATGAAATGTATTTAAAAACGCCTTCTGTTTCTTCAATCAAAAATGCATTGTCATCTGTGACCAGAAAGGAGGGTGCACAGTTAACAGATGCCTCAAACACTTCTGTAAACATTTCAAATAGATTAGTATCTTCATCTCATTTGGATCCTGAAAACAGGTTTGTGAATATGTGCAAAGTGGATTTCCTTTAATCTCAGTAATAAATAATTTACAAATAGAAATTATGGTGTTTGTAGTATGTCAGTTGGCAGGCTGTCACAGCCTTAACAGTGATTGTTATCTGTGGTATTACGATAGCTCTCAGACTATGCATTTTGCAGAATGAAAGCAAATGTAGGAAGCATTTCACTAACAAGAAGGAAGATTGATTACCCATTTCTCTTAGGGTAAGTCTAGACTAGGGGTAAGTCCCTGCTTCTAGAGAACACATCTGCTCTTCCGGGGAAAAAAAAAGCAGAAGAGCAAATGCGGTCTTTCAGAAGCCCTGTCTTCCTCATTCCGTGGGATCTTCAGAGATTTTTTTTTTCTGAAATTTTGGTCCAGTGTAGATGGGCCAGACTTGGAAAAACCTCTTCCCAAAAAGAAAAAGGTACGCAAATTGCAGAACACATTTTGCATAACTTTTTCCAAAAAAAAGTTGTAGTCTAGACATAGCCTTATTGAGGAAAGACTGCTTTGAGTTAGCCTGTCTTTCCAGTATGATTTTCTCCAGAAGCATCCATTGCAGGCAATTTTTTATAATGTTGTTACCCTTGACCAAAGCTGCTTAGTAAGTTTCAGAATATTGTGTGAAAACAAGTCAGTTGCTAGGTTACTATAAAAATGGTTGACTTATACATTCATTTATTTTATATGCACCCTGACTAGCGTAGCTTTTCATTAACATTTTTTCTAGTCAGAAGATGCCTTGTATCTGAATGGAACAGATGTCAGTATCGCCTTTCTTTTGACTTGGCCTGTCTCTCCTAAACTCTGATACTGAATTAGATAACTAAAGATGTTACTTCCATTTTCCCAAATAGTCTTGGATGAATCCTTCTGAGTTGGTTCAGCCATGATACCTATTCTCTCCTAATGTTAACTCTTTTATTCACTGTGTGTAGTGTCCATTCACTCAATGTCCAGTTTTCAGGAGCACTCAAATGTAGTATTTAAAACTCCTATAGTTGACCTAAAAATTTAGAAATTTAAAAAGTGCAGGTATTTAGAATCACCAGTGCAGTTTAGCAAGTGTACTTTTATTTTCATAACCACTGTTCTCACAGTTAGGGAAAAAAGAAATTATTTTGAATAATGTAAGTGGTTTACAATAGCTGATTTTTTTTTCTCTTCTCTCTCAACCCACAGCCTTAAACGGAAGACTTCTGGTTGTTCAACACCTATTACTTTAAAAACACCACGATTAAATAACCACTCATTTGACAATCACACAGATGATGATGATGATGAGGATGTCATCATCTTAGAGGAGAGTAGTACTCCAAAGCCTACAGCAGACTGTGATGTTGCAATAGTGAAAACTGAACATATTAACGTGGAACAGGGTAGCATGCAGAAAGAACCTTGTAGTGCAGCTAGTTCAGAAGCTAAATATGAGCAGTGGACTGCATCAACCCAAACTGAAATCCCAAGTTTAGTTGTTAAAAAGGAAGAAGATGATCATATAGATATGCAGTTACCCACGTCAACTTTGGAAACAAGTCAACAAGAAATCAGTAATGCCTCTGAGATGTCTTCTGTGGATTCTGGCATCAGATTAAATGAACTAAGAAATCGACTACAAGTAGCAAACACAGAAAAAGAAAACTACCAAAAACAGTGTGAAACCTTAGCCAAACAGATGAAAATACTAGAGCAGAAGATACTAGAAATGAATGATAAATATGTGAAAAAGGAAATGTGTCATCAGTCAACTGAGACTAGTATTACGTTCCCAGATGACAGACTTGAAAATGTTCTAGAGAAAAGTCCAGAAGAAGTAGCTATTTTATATGAGCAAGCCTTAAAAGAAATAGAAAAGCTAAAGGAACAGTGTAGTATTCTGCAGAACTTAAAAACTGAATGTAACAGATGTGCTAACAATGAAAATAAAAATGAGGTAGATGAAATTGCTGTGCAACTTGATGATGTCTTCAGACAACTGGACAAATGCAAAACTGAGAGAGACCAATATAAAAGTGAGGTATGTTTAGTAATTTGGCTTATTGCAATGTGAAGCAAATATACAGGGGACTCTTTTAAAAAGCTATCACAAAATTCATCTGGACAGCTTCCTATGGCATCTGTAGGGCTCCATATGAGCTAAGGAAGTAGCCCATTGAATACACTAGAGACTAAGGGTCAAAATTTGTGGATGTGATTGCGAATACAAATTATAATTATCCAGATGCAAATTAGTTAGTTGTAAACAATTTAGGATTATCTCACTAATGGATATCTCCTGTGCACAAGCTAAATCTTGATTGCTGTAAATTGCTAAGTCTGTGAATACCTTTTCATTAATTTTTAGAATACTGTTACTGCTATTCCAGAAATTCCAGTATGAATATTTTGTCAAATTGTTAAATTAGCATAGCAATTCTAGTAAGTAAATTTATCCTGCATTGTGTTCAAGTAGCACAACTAATAACGGCCAGAAAAGGTACCAAGAATTGAACTGGCATAGATTTAATTTCTTTTTTTTAGAAATGATGCCCCCGGAATAAGTTTGAGGCAGCCCGATAGACAAATGTACGGAAATAGGGATGTAAGCCACTAGTTGACTATTCGAAAAACAAAAGCTTATTGGATAGTCGACTAGTCCTGCAACTATTTGCTCCCCCTCCGTCCTGTCTTTCTTGCTTGCATGCATGCTTATGTGCACTAGACTTGAGAAAGGTCTGGGTTTTGCATTTTAGAGATCCGCACTGTGGTCAGGACCATCCAGGCTCCCCTACAACATTTAGCTTGTGATCCACTACAGTATGCTTTCCTAATCATTTATTTCACGCACATTTTGAATGTGTGTAACTAATTATTCCTTCCTAAGAGGAGTACTTTGCATTTGTCCAATTTCATTCTGTTTTTCAGACCATTTCTCCAGTTTGTCCCAATCATTTTGGATTTTAGTTCTGTCCTTTCAAAGCATATACAATGTAGTAGAATGTATAGCCTGTTGTTCATAACTGAAGGAAGAAGAAAAAGGAGGGAGTCAGTGCAGCCCCAAAAGTGAGAAAAGGCTCCCAGCTTTACAAATACAGCAATTTCCTGAAGTCACCTGGACAAACATTATTGGAATAAGTTTAGGCTTGCTGTATTAAGTTTAGAGGTTATTGTGAGCTAGAGATTGGTATAATTTCATGGGGGCAGGAGACAACAGCCTTCCAGAAGCTAGTAATAGGTGGGGTGATTAGGTAAATTAATACAGGTTGTAAGAAGCTAATTCCTGGCTCATGTCCAGTCCCAGATGCTGCACCTCTGCTTTTTAAATGTAAGAGACTATTGGCTTTTAATACATTTAAAAATCAGAAGTGCGGGCAAGGGCATGCCCTGGTGTAATCTAGGGATCAGGTGTCCCAACTTGTTCTAGGTCCCACCCACACACTTTACGTGTAAAAAGGCTGAAGTGCCCCGAGGAGAGACAGTACAAGCTGGGAATCAGCTGTCCTGACTTGCAGTGTGTTCCCCTCTACCCTTCCTCCGCAGCACCTCAGCCTTTTCAATATATTAAGAGCCTAATGGCCCTTAATATATTTAAAAGGCAGAACTGCAGCAGAGTTCGTTCCCGGGGCTGGGAGCTAATCCTGCTGTGGCTCTCCTGGTTATTAACTAATCGACTAGTTGATGGGAAATCCATCTACTAGTCAATTAGTTGATTACACTAAATTTAACATCCCTATACAGGGCTTCATTTGCTTTTGGTTAATTCGTTATTTGTTTTTGTGAATAAATAATGGTGTCTTTGGCTTCTTTACTACTTTTTTCACATATACATGTGGTTAGAAGTTACCCTGTAATATTCATTATTTCCAGTCCATGGCATAGGTTTGTTAAGATTGTATGTAGTTCAGTCTTTTTTCATTCAAATGTCTTTTGACGACAGTCTTTCCATGTCCTTTCTCGCTGTTCTTTGACCTATGCTTTCTTGCTGTCACTGACAGTCCTAGATTAATCTTCCCCTAGTTCAGTCCATATGCATTGTTTAAATTAGGGATGTTAAATTTTGACTAATCGAATAGTCGATGCAATTTGCATCGACTGTTCGATTAGTCGATAGGGCACCCTAGGACTGTTGCTAGACTTGAAAGGAGAGAGCCCTGTGGGAACACAGGGCCAGCAAATCAGTCCCATGCTCCCCGTGGTGTTTTAAAGCGGCAGAGCTGTGTGGAGCCTGGGGTCAGGTGGAGGCTCCCCTGTTGACACTGGGATCCATGTAGCATTGCCACTTTGAAATGCTGCAGGGAGCCTAGGATCAGTCCCCACTGATCCTGGGCTCCATGTGGCACTGCTGCTTTGAAATGCCATGTGCAGCCTGGGGAAACACCAGTTGGCTCTGGGCTGCACACGGTGTTTCCACTGGCCCCAAGCTCTATGTGGCACTGCTGCTTTGAAGTACTCCTTCTCCTCTTCCCCTCGCCCCTCAGGCTGACTCTTTCTGATAGAGACAGCAAGGGGTGGGGGGAAGTGACTGGTTGACTCGCTATCCAATAAGCATTTAAATCAGAGCTGACTAGGAGAGTCATGCAGAGAACGTTTTTTTCCCTTTCGGTTTAATTTAATTACAACTTCCCCAGTACTTCTACTGTTTTTTTTTTCCATTGCCATATATGCACACCGGGGAGTTCTTTTGAGTTCTCCAGATCTTGGTCTAATGGCATGAAATACGCTTCCCAAGTATACAGATTCTTTCCTATTCAGCTTCTCTCCAGACACTCCAGTCAACAGCTCTTCTGCCACTCTTCCTTACTTGCATAATTGCAGTATTTTTTGTTAACCTTCAAATCATGATCTTCAAACACATCTGCCTACTCTGATGCTGTATTTACCATTCGTTTTTGCTGTTAGCCAGAAGAGCCAGCTTATCAGCATAGATTACTTTTCTCTGTCTATGCGTTCAGTTCTCCTATTAACTCCTTCACAACTAAGATGAAGAAAAGTGGACTCAGTATGTTACTTTGTCTGACTCCCACTGTCTCTTCAGAACTCTCCAAAATTCCATTTATTGTTAGCATCTTAGTTCTTGACTCTCAATACAGCTTCTCTCATTGATTTCTGAAGTCTCGCACTTCAATTTCAATGTCAAGCAATTAATGCAGAATTAAGTCATAAGAAGATGAATAAATGCTACATAGCACTTAACCCTCCATTTATCTTTCAAACTTATGTCTAGTATTTCTTCCATTCCTAAAGTTCCTGTCTTCCTCTCCAATATTTTCCTCCATCTTTGACAAATGGTGTTTGGACCGTTTGCATCACCCTTATCCTTCCTGAGCAGTGTGCACTTCCCCTACGGTTGCCAGATGGTTTCAGCAAAAATACCGAACACACTAAACATGACATCACAATCTACATTATATCTTATTTAGAAAGACATTTATATTTTCTCATTTATATTTTTTTCAATTTGTTTCCCGAACAGAGAGCTCAAATACTGGACTGTCTGGTTCAAAACCGGACACCTGGCAACCCTAAATCCCCCATTCTTTTAAGGAGGATCCCAGCAAACACACAGTAATTTAAGAAGCCAGTATCTTCATTTGTGTTGATACTTGCAACAGTTATCTCCTCTTCATTAGCTTCTTACCATTCTTCATCTTATTCAGTGCTTTTTACCTACTGTATAATAGGCATGCTAGGTATTATATAATTGAATAGTTGTGTAACGGCATGAACTCTTAGCGGTTACATGACTATTGAAGAGTCCCAGGGGAAGGGCTGGCAGACAGTCGGCTCCCAGCGAGGCCCCTGTGCTTGTGCGCTGCTGCCTGTGTATCAGAGGCAGCAGCAAGGAGTGGCAGGGAGAGCCAGTCCACAAGGGGAGCCAGTTTGAAAACCAGTCTAGGCTTATCAGTTAATCATGTACTCGACTACCCAAATGCTATCAAACAAGAGAATTGCAACTTCAAGCATGTTCAGTAATTATGGATAAGCCTCAAAGGGTACTGATCACTGTAGAGATGTCAATGTGTAGTTGACTACATGATTAACTGATAAGCCTAGGCTGATTTTTTTTTCCATCTCTCTACTCCGTCTTTACAGCTAAACATCACACAATTCCTATCCTTCATGCAGAAAGATCTCATTTCATTGTTCCTCTTTTTGCCAAGCTAAAAACCAGTTTCTTAGCATCTTCGAGTTTTCTGTAATTCCTCTTCAGTCTCCGTTCTGATGTTAGCAATTGCCTTTTTGCCTATTATGTGTGCATTTACTTTTCATCATGACCTGCTTTCGCTAAATTGTTTAATTATTCTTGTACATCAGACTTCCATCACCGGCTAGTTATCCAAAATCACCCCATTTTCCATATTACCTTCACTTTATGAAATACTCTTTAAGCAAGTTTAATATTTTCTCCACTCACTTAACTGTCTTTGGTAAAGCATGAAAGCCTTCCATTACTGTTGGGCAAACTCTTTCTTCTCCCTTTTACATAACTCCCAGTGAAATTTCTTTCTCATCTTTATTTTTTTCTTATTGCTTAGGCTGTATATTTTTTAGCTATTAATACTTGTGATATGGAGTGAATATGTAGCAGAACAAACTTTGCCTTTAGCATTTTCATACTTCTCTTGTAAAATTATAGTCTACCTGGGCTTTGCTTTTCCAGTATAATATATATAGTGAATTTTTTTTCTAAATATTATTCACCACTGAAATCCCATTAAACACTACTCAACCCAGTTCTCTTATTTCTTTTACCAAATCCAAATTTAACCCCCACTCTTTCAATTGGGTTCCCTTCAGAAATATAATGCCGGTCACTAACAAGACATTGTGCTCATTCGTAATCACTAACTATGCCAGTTAATTTGTAAAGCTGCTCTTCTCTAAGTCATCTGGATTGTGGAGCACAGTTGGACATCAAATAATCCTGCTGTCAACCATGCTGTTTTCCTCTTCTGACTTTCCTTGTAGCATCAGTGACCTGAGCTGCTAATAGCTACCCCATTCATCGTCTTTTCTCAGCAAACCAAAACACTTTAAGATTATACTTCTGTAGTTTCCTGCAGATACATTGCATTTTTTTTCTTTCAAGCCATTGCCTCAACCACCTCTCTTGACCTACACCTACGTGAATGTATGTTCCAGATTGCTAGTCCCAGGACTTTGTCAATTTGTCTCTGTTCCCCAGAAAAGTGTCAAGTTTACATGGTTTTTAAATATTTGCATTCAAAGAACACACCAAGAAACTAGGAGCTAAGTTGTCCACTGATGATGGCTGCCCCAGTATGCTCACTCTACTTGGTTTTAATTAATTTTGCCGCCTTGATCAACTGCCATCCAAAGCTTCTGAGCCTCATCCACCCCATCTGGCATTTTATATGAGGAATAATATTTGGTTTTGGAGAGGAACAATTTAAAAATTGTACACAAACTTGCTCTAGTTCAATGTTTTTTTAGGTGTTATGGAATTTAATGTTGTAGGTGCTATAGAATTTGGCAATTTGTCTCCATCTTCAGAATGCTTTCACAGGAGAGTATCTATACTTGGCCAACTTTTTTTTTTTTTTTGCTCAGCAAGAATTAACTAAAACCAAGGAAGTGACTGCTAACTTAAAAAATTTGATGTTTTAAAAATTCTCACGGGATGGATAAAAAATTAGTTTATGAAAGATCAGTTCTTTATATGTTACTAACTTTCTGTCTAGCAGTTTAATACTATAAATGTGGGGGGTGGTGATTGGATTTTTTCTTTAGCTCTTAATTGTTCTAGAATTTCAGATTTTTTGTAGATTGCTCCCTTGCATGTTTATGCTCATCTACACAAAGTGGTCAAGCCTCATAAACAGCCTTACTCTGAGAACACACGCTCAAATACAGAATTATTAGTAAATTTCCTATGCTATGTTTCCATTCAATACCACTTTCTTACATCTTGATCTTTCACAAGTAAAAACGCTGAAATGATTTAGCCAGTGAACACTCAATCTTCAGGGTTTGCAGCGTAAAGTCAAAGGGACTTGTGCTCCTAAATAAGTTTTGAAAATCCAACTGTTTGTCTAAGTTAGGTTTAAGTGCTTAACTTCAGGCTTTTACAGATGCCAAAATGTTTAGTATGTTCACTGATACGTAAATCTAACTTGTGATTGTTAATACTGAAGTAGTTTTGTTTTGAACTGAAAGATTTTTTACAAAACTTTTAACTGTAATTTTAACCCCTGAGACTGCAAACATTTGTGTACAGTCATGTTGGTTTCAAGCAGATGAGTAGTCACATTAATGTAAATCTGATATTCATATGAAGAATTATGTGCCTGCTTAAGTTTTTGCAGGATCAGAGCTTTAACTTTTAATATTTTCCTGTAGTATTTTTGTAAAATACAGAGGATACCCAACCAGAAATAACATTTTAAAAAACAATTTAGTTCTGCTGCAGTAGATTACAATTATAATGTCAGATGAGTTTTTTAAAGGTTCAGTGTACTTTTTAATCTAATCACTTGATTTATATAGAAGACAATGATTTAACTCATCTTGTTTCCAAATTACTCCACCTTGACTTCAGAAGTATACAATTAACTTACTTTGATTTTTACCTATCTCAGATTGAACTGCTGGAAATGGAAAAAGCTCAAATTGGTTTTCAGTGCGAAGAGCTTAAAAGAGAAGTTGCGCAGTTAAAAGCTACAATTCCTCAAGTTGTTGCATGTTCAAATAATTCTACAACAAGTAACATTGAAGATCCTGTCAGTTATTCTGATGAAGAAAGGTATCGCTTTTCTTTCTTTTAGACCAGAAACTTTCCTGGAATAATCTATGGGGTTTGTATAAGATTGTGTAATCTTTTGTGGGTCTTTGAATCTTCACTGTCCCTTTCATTCCCCATTAATATTCACCCTTTATCTTCCAGAAATATTTCAGATTAGTTTATGTATATGTCCAGATTGCAAGTGCTAAATCCAAATGTCTGGTTTCTCTGAAAACCTGTAAACAATATTCCTCTTCATCCAAGTAGAACAATGGCTTTTTATTACAGCTGACAGCTTGCTTACCATTTACACAGCACACTGGCATTGTCCTTTTTTGAGGAGCTACTTCATATGCATATTAGCACATGTTTGCACTACAAAATTAAGTCAACATGAGTTAGGTTGACCTATAGCCACTGTAGTAAATAGACTGTTCATGTTTAAATAACCCTCCTTGTGCCAGTGATATGCATCCTTACCAGTCTAGGGATGTGAAAGGTCAACCAGTTACCTACTAAGCATCACCTTTATTGGGTAATGCTTATGGGTAAATGGTTAACCAGTGGGCCTAGCTGGACTGGAGCAGTCCCCCATCCGTGTCGTGCCACAGGTTGCTCCAGCCTGGTGAGGCCAAGTGCACTGTGCACAGGGATCTTTTCCACTCTGGCCTACGTAGCCCCCACCCATGGCATTGTGGGCTCAGCCTGGCCTGGCCAGAGCAGCCTACAGCACAGCAGGCCCAGTGCCACGCTGGGAGTGTGTGGGGTGGAAGGGAGGGACTGCTCCAAGGTTGGCCAGTTAATCCTAGAATTCACATTTAAAATGATTAACAACATCTTTACACCAGGTGCACTTGCATTGATTTTTAAATGAGGGTCTTTCAGGGAGCTGACAGCCAGAGCCTTGCCAGCCACGCGGATCACTGGTGCAGGGCTGACAGCCCAAGCAATGAGCCCTTCTGCAGGTCTGACTGGGAGCCCAACTGCTCTGGGGCTGATGGGAATCAGCTAGTCGAGGCAGGGCTGGGTCTGATGATGGTTTGATCCCCATGACACTAGCCTAGCCAGCATGAGGGCAGGGCGCATGGTTGTTTGCCAGCCAGTGGGTTTGGGGCTGATGGCACTGGCTCTCCATAGGTGAAGGGCAGGGCTGGGGCTGATGATGGCCAGCCAGTGATTCACCCTGCATGGGGGTGACGGGGCTGGAAATTAGTGAATAGCATGCCCCAGGCTGGGGCTGATGGCTTTTGCTGGCTGTCCCTGCATAGGGCAGCATGGCTGGGGCTGAGAGCATTGTCTGATCACAGGTAGTGATCTTGGGGATAGGCAGACATAAACAGAGGGTGGGCCACATGATTGGCCCTCCTTCACCTCAGTGGGCTGCAGCAGCACTCAGTGAGGTTCCACCTGCAGCCCATAGGCACTCTATCTGCCTCCTCCCCCATGCATCTCACATGCACTAGGGAACCAGAGCCCAGCCCTGCCCTTCCCTGCTCCTTCTCCTCCTCCCCATCATCTTCGGAGTGCCATGAATCACCTGTTCTCCTTCCAGAGCTGTCCCTGTGGGTGCTCCACTCAGGGTCAAGGTGCTTCCCTGCACCTTTGATTGGAGATTTTCTCAGCAGTGTCTCTTCTCTCTCCCTCCCTCCCCCCGGCCGTCTGCACGCTTTGTCTGCCTGATGAGCTGTCAGATAAGTAGTACGTGCACGGTCCGGGCTCCTCAGTTCTTTCTCTACCGTCCCTGGCCAGAGATGGAGTTTACAGCAGTCAAACTGCCCACCTCAGACATAGTTTGTTATACATACTTATATAGCTACTTAGTTTCATTTAACATACAGTTAGTTATCTTTCTTTCTGCTTTTAAAAAAAACCCTCCATTTCAACATGCCGGGCTCCCCTGGTTTCAAGAGGTGTTCCTCTTGTAAAGAAGCCATCCCTGTGTCTGGCCACTCTGTGTGTCAGATGTTTGGGGAAGTCCCATGTCACTGGAAGCACTCACTGTCAAATTGAAAGTGCAGACTCAGAAGGACAGAGAGCTGCGTCTGAAGCTGTCACTGCTCCAGGACTTGCTCAAAGGCTGTGCATTGGACCCTGGATAAAACACTGCAGAGTCTCAGCAAAAGACCTGCTTCCTGCGCTTCTCGAGGCAGAGGGAAGAAGCACAGACTTTCAGTCTCTTCAGTGTTAGCCACTCCGCCGCTGAGCACTTTTGTCTTTGCGGGCACCTCTGGTTCCCCAGCCACTGTACAAGGTGCTGAGGCAAAGGGCTTTCAGTTGCCTGCCTCTCTGAATGCACCCTCAGTTTCCTCAGTGACCTTGGAGCTGACCTTAGGTGTGCAGCAGCCTATTTAAACAGCAGAAGTGGCACTTCCCTTTGATCCTGCCACTCTGCTTGAGCTTTAAGTTAGGGAGGCTGCCTGCCTGCTCAGCAGTGCAGCACAAACTGCTCTGACTCAAACGGCACCAACAACTTCCACAGTCCAATCATCTGCTCTCCTCAGCACGGCACCACAGTCTCTCTGCACCAGAACACGCTGCAGTTTGGCTCTGTTTAGCACCAGTTTCACAGTGCAGTTGATAACGTGGTCCTCTCCTCTTCTGGAGGGGGGATTTTTCACCAAAGCCACAAGCACAATGCTGCCAGTCTCCTGCGACCCCTCCCCAACTTTCCAGTGGGGAGGAAGATGATTTGGAAAATAGATCTTTCTCCACTCTATTACCCACTTGAGTATAGGGACCCACGCAGACAAAATACACCTCCCACACAGTACCTGTGATATGTTCACCCCTGGATGATGACACCAATACCATTCCCTGGCTACTGCTGTACTGGGGTAACTGGGAACACCACAGAGCATGGCATAGTAATCATCCTGCTACACGGAGGCAAGTCCACAACCCTCCCCCACCAACCCTTCAAGTACAGGTGGACTCTAATGTTGAATCCCTACTGGACATGCAAACAGACATTGCGGGGGATAATTCACCTATGGCACCCCCTTCACCCCAACAAGCCAAACTGCCCACCACATCTATGGATGAACTCTTTCCACTTTCAGGACCTCTTAAAAAGAGTGGTAGATGGACCTCAGTATTGCTTTGGAGCAGGGTTTCCCAACCTCTGGGTCGCCATTACATTTCAAAAGGGTCACCAAGTGTCTCCATGGGTGGCTCTGCCCACTCTTCTCCCTCCCCCCCCATTTTTTAATTGCCTTGGGGTCACCAAGTCTTCCTGAATTGTAAAAATGAGTCCCCATCTGGAAAAGGTTGGAAATGGCTGCTTTGTAGGAAATCTTGGATAACCAACATGAGCTCACAGATATATTGCAAGTCACTGCTACCTCCAAAATAGCACTCCCCATTATTGCAGCCATGCTGCAGCCTGCACAAACTATATGGCAGATTCCTGCCTCCTTCACACCCACAAGCAAGCGCATGGACCAGAAGTACTTTGTTCACTCTAAGGACACTGAATTCCTCTACACACATCCTGTTCCCAACTCAGTAGTAGTGGAAGCAGCTAACCAGAAGAACAAGCAACACCAACAGTTCGAGACCACTTCATCCATCAAAGATAATAGAAGGATGGTGGCATTTGGGCAGAAAGTATACTCCTCCTCCACCTTGCAATTCAGGGTTGCCAATTATGTGGCGCTATTAGCAAAATATGACCACCGAAACTACTCCAAAATACAAACTTGTATTGATGACATGCCTAAAGACAGGAAACAACAATTGCAGGCACTGGTCTCTGAAGGCCAACTAATATCCTGCACAGCACTTCAAGCCACACTAGATATTGCAGACACAGCTGCCAGGTCCATAGCCACAGCAGGCGTCATGCGTCATGCGTCCTGGCTCTCATCTTCCTCCTTCCCAAGGAAAATCCACACTGCAATAGAGGATCTTCTATTTGATGGGCACAAGCTCTTTGCTGCTAACACCAGTGAGGTCCTCCACTCCGTGAAGGACTCTTGAGCAACCCTGAGATCCTTAGGCATACAAACACCTATGCCAAAGAAAACACAATACAAGTATCAGACATTCCAATGACAATACCCTTATTACTCACACCAAGCACAGCATGGACAATATGATACTCATTACCCGCCACCTTGTGGGGTGACCCAACCCACCACCTCCAATAAGCAAATTTTGAAGCATCAGTCAAGAGCATTGAAAACAATCTACTCTCTCCAGTGCTGCTAGTGACCAACCCATCCTTCACCTTCCGTCTACAACCATTCTTCCATAACTGGGAAGCTATCACTTCAGATGGCTAGGTTGTGGAGATCATTGTCGGGATGAACCATCCCATTCATATCTCCACCCCACCCCTCAACCACCACCTCCTCCCGTCTCTCTTCAGGGACCCCTCACATGCTATTACTCTATTCAGAGGTGCAATGCCTTATCCACCTTGGAGCCATGGAGCCAGTGCCTACTCACCACAGGGGGAAAGTTTTATTCACGTTATTTCTTGACAGAAAAGAAAAATGTGAGATGGAGACCTATTCTAGACTTCTGGGGTTTGAACAAATATGTACAAAAACAAAAATTCAGGATGGACACTTTTTTCCACAGTAATCCCAGCACTGGCACAGGGAGATTGGTCTTTCCAAAGTAAAGGACAGTGTATTGATAGTGGTCATTCTCAAGTGTAAATCTGAGGAAGCGTCTGTGCCAGGTGGATAGTAACAAAAAAAACTCTCTTGGAAGTTGAGAGCTGAAAACCAAAGTGCCACGAGTGCTTTCAAAGCTCCTGGCAGTGGTAACAGCATATTTAAGGAATCAGAACCTGATAATCTTATGTCTTGACGGTTGCCTGTTGAAGTCTCCAACCCATTCTCATGCTCTTCATGCAACATCAGTGATGATGCAGTGCTTCCAAAAGTTGGGCCTACAAATAAACAGACAAGTCACCTGCGCAAAAAATCCACTTAATAGTCCTTTCTGAACTCCATTACTAGTCAAGCCTCACTGCCAGAGGAAAGATTCAGAGCAGTCTGCAGTCTCGTATACACACCATTCGCATAGAGGCCATCAAACTCTGGAATTTGATGCTTCAAACACATCACCATATCTGCCACATACCTACCCGGTATCCAAAACACCATTGTGGACAAACTCAGTTGTTGCTTCCCCATACAACACTAGTGGGAGTTGGACAATTACGTTCTACATGCCGTTTTTCAAAGCTGGGGGTTTCCCCAACTTGACCTATTCACAACAGCCCAGAACAAAAAGTGCTCAGAGTTCTATTCCAGAGCAGATCTGGGATCCCACTTCAGGAGGGATGCCTTTTCGCTACCATGAACCAACACGTTTTTTTATGCCTTCCCACCTGTACCCATACTCAACAGGGTAATACAGAAGATCAGAACAGACAATTCACATGTCATCTTAATAGCACTGACATTGCCCAGGCAACTATGGTATTTCTTCCTGACACGAATGTCGACCAATCCCCCTCCCAGTTCAGTCCAATCTCCTATCTCAAATGCAACGGCCAGATTCTTTACCCCAACATACTGTCTCCACCTCAGAGTCTGGATACTCAATGGTTTTCTCATGAAGTGTGCTAATGAACCAGTACAGGGAGTCCTTCTGCACAGCAGGACACTAACCACATGCACTACCTACCTCCAAAAATGGAAGGAGGTATGCTGCTTGGTATATGCAAAAACATACCTCGCCAACCTCCGTACCTCTCCACTCAGTCCTTGATTATTTACTGGAACTTAAATCCACAGGCCCCTCTACTAACACTTTTAAGGTCCATCTCGCTGCCATCACCACATTGCACACACAGGTAAATAATGCCACTGTTTTTGTACATCCAATCACCAAAAGACTTATGAAGGGCATCCAGGCATTATACCCATATACCAGACCACCAACATGTCCCTGGGATCTACATCTTCTCTTTAATGCACTCATGCACAAACTTTTTGAGCCTTTGACCACGTGCTTTCTCCTTATACCTCTCCGTGAAAACAGCTTTCCTGGTTGCAGTCATCTCTGCCAGTAGGGTGGGAGAACTTGGAGCTCTCATGGCATATACCACCTTCTTTCAAGATAGTCATGCTTCACGTGCTCCCTAAATTTCTACCCCAAGTACATTCTTTCTTCCATCTACACGAACCCCTTCACTTACCGACATTCTTCCCGAAACTACACGCCAATACTTTTGAGTCTGACATGCACACACCAGACGTGCCAGGGCACTATAATTCTATTTAAATGGAATTAAACCATTCAGAAGGACTCCTAAGGTTTTTGTCCCCATGATCTCATGAAAATGCCATCTCCAAGCAGAGATCTATATCAGTGGTGGCCAATCCATTAAATGAAGAGAGCGTAAACAGCAGTGGAAAAAATGTGAAGAGCTGCATTAGAATTTTGTTTTGAGCAATTTTTATTGAGGGGGAAAAAAAGGAAGAGCTCCCTACCAGCCCCACAGAGTTGTTGAGGGGGGAAAAAAGGATGCTGCCCCTTTAAAAGACAAGACTTTTTGGCCACATCGGGCTCCTGTTGGCTGCCGCCATCTTGGTGACACCATTTTGAATTGCCGCACTGGACGGCTCCCCTACCCCAGTGAGCACAGGTAGCTGGGGACCATTTCTAGGAGTGCAGGGGCAGCTTCACAAGCTGCACTTTAAGGAGGGAAGAGCTGCGTGCAGCTCGCGAGCCGTGGGTTGGCCACCCCTGATCTAAATGGATAGCTAACTGCATACGCTTGTGCTACCAGCTCAAACAAGTCTAGCCTCCTGTCTCTATCAGAGCGCATTCTACATGTTCAGTTTCCACGTTTACAGCCTTCCTGTGCAGCTTTCACCCTTGTCGACATATGCAAGGCAGCTACATGAGCATAAAATCTCACGTCTGCACGACACTATGTCCTCTTACAGGACACTGCAGTTGACACTAGATTGGGCAGAGCTGTTTTGTGTGCAGCCTTCTAGCCTCATCCGAAGCCCCTACTGTCTTCAGGGACACTGAAGGTGCGTCCCCACAGCAGGAGGTCGACAGGAGCAAATGCTCCTGTCGACTTCCCTTACTCCTCGTGAGGTACTGGTGCCCTCAAAGCTTGATATAGTGATGAATCTCTGGCATGATAAGTATAGATATGGCCCTAGTGTTAGGTTTGAGCTGTAGCTCTGTCTTGCTGCATCATTTGTGATCACTCCTCCATCCACCAGCATTTCCTTTGATCCTAACATCCATCTTTAATATACTTGTTACTCCCTGGAAGGATTTACAAATACTTTAATTTGTTGCATTAATCTGGGACACCGGCAGTAGCTGATGTCCGTGCTCCTATCTGAAAAAAAATGCAGGCAGAAAGGAGAGATCTAAAAAGAATGAGCTGGAACTAACTTTGACCAGCAAGTTGGAATGGGTGGAAAAAACGAACAGAGAAAAGAAAGCAAAACTAAGAGAAGGAATGAAGGGGAAATAAACAGAAGGAAAGTAAGAAAGAGGCAGAAGCAGGGAAGAAACTGTAGTGTAAAAGATGGCTAAAGTGTATTTTTACACACTAATTTATTTTTAAAGTAACTCTTGGACAAATTCCTCTTTCTAGCTGGTATATTTTCCCCTCTGTCCTTCTGTAGAGGTGGCTTTTGGTGTGCACCTCACATAGGGGCCACATGTGCCTAGCCCTATCATGTTTCGGCATGTACTTCCAATTTTTAATGCTTTGGAATTGTCATGAGAAACCAAAATGGATATCTGAGGTATCTGGGTCAGTACTTGGATTTGTACTGCCTAAATAAACAGTCTTTCACCTTGTTTCAAAAGAGCCTCTTTTGTGGTGATGTAACTGGAACCAAGTTCTGCCCTTAGTGTTGTGGTTATTTTTTTTAATGGAATGAGCAGGTAATCCTTGAGCAACAGTTCTTGAGCTGAAACTTTGGGGGAAAAACTGGTCTGGCTGTGGCCTTGTCTTGAGCTACTTGATAGGTAACTTTAAATTTCATCTTATATTGGCTGATATTCTTCTTTGCCTTAAAGTTTCTGCACATCTGAGTGTTAGTCAGATTGTTCATAAAATTCAATACAAAATGTTATGGACTGTATTAGGGATGTGAATGTGTAACTGATTGGCCAAGAGCTCTGCGGAGACAGTGACTAGGAGCCTGCTTAGGGTTAAACCTAATGTTTAATTGGTTAACTGACTCGAGGGATGTAAAATCCCCTTTATCTCAAGAGTTATCTGCACTGTATCTAAAATCTTTCCTAATGTGATCAATGTTATCTTCCTACAGCCTGAAACTGCGATCCCTCCGAGTTAACGTTGGACAGCTACTGGGTATAATTATGCCTGATCTAGATTTACAGCAAGTAAATTATGATGTTGATGTAGTTGATGAAATTTTAGGACAAGTTGTGGAACAAATGCATGAAATCACCAGTACTTAATACCCTTTATTTAAGACATTAAGAATCTTCCACTGTATTGTATGGTTTATAAAAGACTGGTTTTGTTTTTATGTTAGAGTAACTTGGATATAAAAAGTATCTTAAATTCAGTGTGAAATACATACTACGGTGCATTCAGGTGTCACACATGCTGTGGGTACTTTATCACGTACTTCCTCCTTAAAGGAACAGTCAACATTGACAGGCTGTGGATGTACCTAATTTATTACAAATTTGTTTTAAAATATAAATGTTTGTAATTAAACTTGCAAATATTTTCTATTTTGGATTCTTAATTTTTACAGAGCTTTTCACTTTGCTTTTAATTTTTGTATTCTCAGTGATCCATAAATGTATAGTTTGCCCAAAACAAAGGCAACTAAACTTACCCTCTCTGATCCCCTTCTTCCCCCACACTCCTTGAACAAATCGCAATATTTTAAAATCAGTATTCTGCTTGCAAACAGTAAAACAGGAATTTTTTTGTGAGTTTGTCTTGACTTATGATAAAATATAGACGATACGTGAAACTTCTGTGCTATTGTTCCTGGTAGCAATATGGGGTTTTTTGTACCATAAGGGTCTGTTCTTCACAAGTGCTAATACCAGTAATTCTCAGCTAATCTAGTGAGAATGGCAGATGCTCATACTGCTGTAGTACTAACTACGAGATAGTTTTGTTATGTGCTGTGTGAATTTATTCATAGGACTGCCAATGCACTTCAGTGCTGACCAGAAATACTACCCCTTTGAGTAAAGACTGATAGTGCTAAATTGTATAGTGGTTGTATGCTGTGGGCAAATATGTAATAGGGACTTCAGATATGTCCTCAAAACAAACAACCGATCCTCAGAAATTGAAGTAGTGCAATATTGATTAGGGATGAAAAATCACGTTTAATTAGTTAACTGGTTAAACATTGTTCAACTGGTTAACCACTTATACGGGGGCGCATAGGGGGCCACTGCAGCGGACACAAACCCCAGTTCTAGACTTTTTGAAATAACACTACTGTAATCTGTCTCCTACTTTCATTTCCCATGAAAATACCAATAATGCAGCATGCTGTGAGTACAATAGGGTGTACTCGGTGTTGGAGGAATTACGCAATTAAAAGGGTATTTAAGCTAAAGATGCTTTCAAAAGCAAATAACCTTCCTGATGGTGTTAATGACCGATGAATTTATTAAAACTGAAAACTTAACTCAAATTTAAACATACTCCTGTTTTGCAGATACAATAGAATTGTGCATGAGAATCAGAAAAAGACTAGAAATAAAAGGACTAGCCTGGTTTTTTTGCTCATAAAAATATGCAAAATTGAAAACCACAAATAGTAAATTAAAGTGTTGAGGAGAAATATGGGGATGGTAAGTTCCTTCCAACCATATTTTTTCCCCAGCCAGCAGAGGTGTTCTCTCATTCAACTAATCAAAACAAAAACTGTTTTAATTAAAATCTTTAAAACAATCATGAATACACCCCTTTAATATTAGAAACATATTAATGTGAAACATCAAAATACCAACATATTTTTTTTGGCTTAAGCAACCTTACTGTCTTGTTTAAATTAAGTTGCATTCCCTTCGTTGCTAGTCTTTTTAGCCTAAGAGTATCTTGAGTACCTGATCTAGTATTATGCTACTAGAGATAATGAAATATTATTGTGTTTCTAATGGATACATTTAATGTTTAATTTTGAATACGTAACTGAAATATGAAAATGTTCATATACCTAAGTCATTTTTGATAAACTGGTGTGCAATTTTTCATTTTGTCTATCATTATTTATTTTCTAAGTGTTTTGTCCAGTTACTTCTGTAGTTGAATTTATTATACATGACTGGTAAAATATAATGTCTATATTGAAAAGTAAAAATTTATACTGTACATTTAAATTTTGAGGAACAGCGGGTAAATGAGAGTAAGTTTACTTGTTAAAGTAAATAGATGTATTTTTTGTAAAAAGCACGTTCTGGTTTTGTCAGATCAAAACTTTTAACTGGTCAATAAAAAATAATTTTGTTTTAAATAACATACTTAATAGTGCTCTCTGGCTTTATTTTAACATTCACCATTATAGAAATGTCATCTACTTTACCATGTAGTCTTTCAGAAGAATGTCAAATTGATTTTTCTGTAATCCATGCTAAAAGTGTAGTTGTCACTCTTTAGCGGTGGGACCACATATAGATGGCTTGACTCTACTTCCATGATGAGACCTGATTTTTTTAATTGTATTTATTTTAAGTTCCAGTCTTTGAATATGAAATCAAGCCTCCAGTAGTCCCAGGTTCAATATCCGATTCCCTAAACAAGGGTGGTGTTGGTGCTTTCACAGTTCAAGGCAACTGCATCTGATTTTCCCCCTCTATGAATCTAGCAAAGGGTACCTGTTCTAAGATCCCAGCTAGCTCCTCAGCTTATCAGGGCTTTCTTCCTCCTGACCAGGTTATTTCCAGGCTGCACAGTTCATTGCCTGTACTGTGAATTATCCAGCAAGTCAGACTGCCTAAACAATCCTGTTTTTTTGCTTTTCTCATCTAGAACTGTAAACAGTGTATGTACCACAATTAAGTTACCACACAGCTCTTTCTAAGCAAACATGTTTATTCTTAAGGTAAAAGAATTACAGGAAAAAACCATAGGGTTTTTATTGTTTTATGTACACTAAACTTACTAGAGATCACACCCCATCTCCCAAAAGGTCTCTGGTCTTAAGTCCTTTCAACACTTTCCTGAGAAATGAGGCCCTCTGGTTGGATAGAATGTCCTGTTAGCTGGATCAGAACGATGGTCCCATATTAATTTAACTCAAACTACTTAAGTTCTCGCATTTTGGGGGAGGAAGGTGTCCTGGAGAGTCCAGTTTGCACAAGTAAAGGCAAGACTCTTCCAGAGAGCTAGCACTGACAGTGTTACAACAGAAATGAATTTGCCTAGCCCAACCCCACTCCACCCTTCAACACCTCTTAATTCCTGGAGGACAGTGATCTCCCATCCTACATTGAATTGCATATGTTCCTTAGGCTACCACTGATGCATAAAATTAATGTTTATCCAGAGTATCACAGGAAACTCCCCAATCTATTATAGGTACATTTGGTTATCCTGTCTATAACTACTATACCGCAAACAGACCTGATCCAACCCAGGAATGAAAATGTAAGATCCCAATGTCCAGCATTCCACTGCTGTCCCCCAAAAGCTTGTGTAACCTAAGGGCAATGTGCTATGCCTCCCTATAAGGCAGGGCTACTCAACTTTGGAAGCCCTGAAGCCACAATGATACAGTGCATGCTGAGGGCTGCAACTTAAGTGTGGTTGCATATACATGCAAATAGCTTTTCACACTGATGGGCATGAATACAAAGATTGTTTTAAGCCGTAGCGCCGGACACAAACGTGGCCAGTTTGAGCCAGTCTGCACCTCTCAGGCTCTGCCCACAAGGCTGAGCGGCTAACCCTTCCCACAATGCCCTGGCACTCCCACACCACCTTCGGGGGTGGGGGGGAGTGAGGAGGAAGGGAGCTAGAAATGCTGATGCCCTGTACCCATCTGTTTCAGCCAGCCCATCCATCTGCATCTTTCAATGCTCACACTTCCTGGGAGATACCTTGCCCTTGTGGAAGTCGTTCCCAGTGTAGGCCATGTTCAAAGGATCCCACCTGCGGGCTGTATGCTGTGCATAAACCCAAACCCCACCATGGGCCGCAAATGAATGGGCTGTGGGCCACATGTTGAATAGCCGTGGTGAAAGGGGTGGTCTACATGAAGGATACCAGTATGCTTCATCTCCCTGCCCACAAATACCAGTATCACCACGAGTGCTGAAGTGGAATAGGTCTCTGCTGTGCACTGAAATATAACTGTCATGGGGTGGGAAAATATACATAGAACCAGGGCTTGCCAAGCTGCGGTGAGCCCTGCTCGCCAGCCACGCTGTCCGGCATTCTGTGCATGTGCAGATCACCCAGACCCAGCTCTTCCAGGTTGTAATCATCTTGCCACGGGCAAGTAGATCACATAGATTGTCGAGCCCTGCATATAATTCTAGTTTAAGAGCCCTGAAGCACTTGTTACACTATTTTGCAATGTGAAATCATTGTTTGGATGTGCTAATACAGTGTTTCTCAACCTTCTTTTTATAAAGTACCCCCTTTAAAAAAAAAAAAATTAGAAGTACCCCCCGTACCGACAGTTTTCAGACGCAATGGTAGAAAAAAGTGACTTTTTTAAACAACTTAATTGTAGCTGGGTGAGCAATGAAATTTTTGGCTGTAAAAATTACAAAAATAACAGCACTGTAAAACTTAAAACAAAAATTCAGTTCTCTAGATGTTATTGTTGAAGTACCCCCAGACGTCTCTCAAGTACCCCTAAGGGTACTCATACCACTGGTTGAGAAACACTGTGCTAATAAACTTTGCTATATTTTTACAAATGTTTAGTTTAGCAAAATGCATAGAAGACTTTCCCTCTTTACCCAAACAGAAGATTTCTTGCTGTTCAAGTGCCAAAAAAGACAGAATGTTAAGTTTATTTAACTTGCTTTTGTAGAAAACAATTGTCATTTTTCAAGGTGTAACTTTGCCTCTATCAGGTTGGGTATCTCAGAGCATTACTATTTGAGCTATAAAGCTGTGCCTCTCAACCTCTCCAGACTACTGTAACCCTTTGAGGAGTCTGATCTGTCTTGCTTACTCCCAAGTTACACATCACTTAAAAACTTCTTACAAAATCAGTCATAATTTAAAAGTGTCATAGCATACTATTGCTGAAAAATTGCTTAATATAAAATAGTATTGTCCCTATTTTACAAAGAGGTAGAGGGGTACAGCACCAAATCTCAACTTTATTTCTGGAATGCCAGTTCAGTTTCCAAAATTTTGTTAAGCTCCCTTATCACAGCATGTAGCTAATTAATTACCACACAATATGTGGCTTTATCTGATACACACCCCATCCAGTGCAATAGATTTTCTTCTCCGCATTCTTACATAAAACAATCTGCCCCTTTGCCAAGACACACTATAAAATCCTGGGGTAGCCAGGCATCTGTGGCCCCACAAAGTTGAGACACCTTGTCGACCTCCTCCTGGCCCTAGTGAAAGCTGACATGTACCACACCAGGAGAAGGATGCTGAACAAAGGGGTGTTCTGTGACTGTGGGGCCTATTTCTGCTTCTTCCTACACTCACATCGGGGCAGAGTTCTTCTGGGCAGTGTCCAGTTGCTCCCTGGATAGCTTCAAGGAGCAGTGGGTGCTGTCTAAGGTTCTCTGCTTGGTGTCTCCATCTGGCTCCGTTGTTTTGAACCTATGACCTGCACTCCTGATCCCTTTATTCATTGTTTGTCCCCCATAATCAATGGAATCCTGGGTCCAGTGGACCTTCCTGCAAGGCTCGGAGAGGGGCTTTTAGAAGTGAACTGGGCTTGTGCCTGCCCACGTCCTTGGATTCAAATAGTGACTCAGAAGAGGGAATGGCTGCTGCTCTGCCTATTTATACCCCCCTTCTGTTCTTGTCACCACCAGTTGGAGCTCTCCCTGCCTTCCCCTTCCCTAACACAAAGTGGATGCTGGGCTCTGGTCAGGACTGTTGACTATGCTGTTAAAAGACTAGTCAGTAGCAAGATGGGGCTAAGGTGGGCTGAAGCTACTGGTATGTTTCAGCTTTCCCCTGGCATATGTGGGGCTGGGAGGCAAGGAAGCTGTGTGCCCCGTCTCCCTGAGTACTGGCTCTGCAGCTGTCATTGGCTGGGGAGCA